TATATATATATATTATACATATTATATATATATTGCATATTCTTTAAATTAGATGTAGCAGAATGCTACAACCAATTGGATTTCTTTTAGTCTCATTCTACTAAGTTGTTATTTTCATTTTCAGTTGTTTTCATTTTCAGTATTGGATGAGCTGTTTATTGCGTCGCCATCTTCGGATGAGTTGATATTCTTATGTCTAGAATTTTGTCAGTTAAAATTATTAATTAATTATTAAATAATTGTCTAAGTTTCTATTTTTTATATAGAAGTCACATTAGTGATTGTATTTACGAGCGTGTACTTTGTCACTTACGATCTTAAATCAGAAATATTTCAATCGATAAGTATCTTAATTTTGACATCGAATATATCTAACGTAATCACCAATGAAAAACATAATTCTCATTTATATTATTACTACCAGAATTATTATTATTGTCGTTGTTGTCGTTGCTATCAGTTACATTGTTATTTCTATCATTATCATTAGCTGTTTTCTCTATTGTTATTAAGCATATTGTTTTCATTTCCATGAACCGTTGTTTCTATCGTCACTATTAGCATTGTTTCCATCATTATTTTCGGGTGCGCTATTGTTTCCATCGCCTTCTTCAAGTATGTTGTTTCCATTGCTGCTTTCTCCATCGCCATTTTTGGCTGAGTTGTCATTTTCATCCCTAGCATCATGTGCAGTGTTTTCTTCCTCATCTTCTATTGGGTTATTTCCATCCTCGGCATCGGGTGTGCTGTTGTTTTTATCCTCAGCATTAGGTGCGCTGTTTCCTGCGTTGCCATCTTCTGAGTTGGTATTCTCATCCTCAGCATCAGATGCATTGTTTCCTCCGTTGTCACTTTTGGCTGAATTGTTATTTCTATCCCCTGCGCTATTGTTTTCATTCTTGATATCAAGTGCATTATTTCCTCCATTTCCATCTTTGGCTGAATTGTTATTTTCATCCTCAGTATCAGGTACGTTGTTTCTTGCATCCTTGGAATCGGGTGCACTATTTCTTTCATTGCCATCTTCGGCTGAGTTATTATTTTTATCCTCTGCATCGGGTACGCTGTTGATCTCATCCCCGATATTGGATGCGTTGTTGCTCTCATCCTTGGTATCAGATGCACTGTTTTTGGCTGAGTCATTATTTTCATCCTCAGCTTCAGGTGCGTTATTTTTTTCATCCTCGACGTTGGTTGCACTATTTCCTCCATTGCCATCTTCGGCTGAGTTGTTATGTCTATTCTCTTCATCGCGTGCGCTGTTGTTTTCATCCTTGGCATCAGGTGCATTGTTTTCTTTGTTGCTATCTTTGGCTGAGTTGTTATTTCCATTTCCTACATCAGGTGCGTTGTTTCCTCCATTGCCACTTTCAGCTGAATTGTTATTTTTATCTCCTGCATCAGGTGCGCTGTTTCTTTCATCTTTGGTATTGGATGCACTATTTTCTCCATTATTATTTTCAACTGAGTTATTTCTATCCTTGTCTCCTGCATCAGGTGCACTGTTTTCATCAGGTGCGTTGCCATTCTTGGCTGAGTTGTTATTTTCATCTCCGGCATTGGATGCGCTGTTCTCTTTATTGCCATCTTCGGCTGAGTTGTTTCTATCCTTGGCTCCTGCATCAAGTGCACTGTTTTCATCAGGTGCATTGCTATCCTTGGCTGAATTGTTATCTTCAGCATTAGACGCACTGTTTCCTTCGTTGCCATCCTTGGCTGAGTTGTTATTTTCATCTCCGGCATTGGATGCGCTGTTCTCTTTATTGCCATCTTCGGCTGAGTTGTAACTTCTATCCCCTGCTTCGCTATTGTTTTCATCTTCGACATTGGATGCACTATTGTTTTTATCCCCGGCATCAGGTACGTTATTTCCATTGTTTTCTTCACTATTTTCAGAAGTTTCAGATGTGTTCTTACTTTCTTCGCTGCTAGATGAGCTGCTATCTTCATTATTAGGTATCTTGGTAGTTGTACTTGGAGTAGATGTTATTAAAATACTTTTTGCATAACCTTCCACACGTACACGTATTCCTTCTCCATATTTTCCAATAACTATTATAGCTATATTCGTCCGACTGAGTCTTTTCGGTATAAATCGAATTTGTTGATTTCCGATATTTGTGAGTTTAATATGGGTGAATATTGCATTGTTTGGAGTTCTTATACCTATTGTGATTATTATAGGCTTGAAAGAGGGAGGCTGCAATTTATAAATAGGATATTAGTTCATAAATAAGATATTATTCATAAAATTATGAGACTGTGTGAGAAATATTTTTATTTGGTCATTTAAAATCTAAGTATCTAAAACTATATTACTATATAACACTAAAATTTACGAATAATGGATAAAATAATTGTAACAATGCATTGTGTAATTTATGTTTTCCTATACTTATGTTTTAAGTAAATTAATGTAATTGATTGATATGATATAAAGATCAATTAAATTCAAATAGGAAATTTAAAACATATTAGATAAGACTTAATGCAATATTTTTAATATCTACAAAATTTGATATATTATTTATATACGTAAATTAAAATATTTAAAAGCTTTCTGTGAAATTCGATAATTAAAATCTGAATTAAAAAAGATGAATTATTCTGTTTTTTTATTTAATATATGTACATGAAATAATTACAATCGAATCAGTTATTTACCTTAATAATAATTCTGTCAGTAATGAGATAATCATTTTCTTGACGTTTACCTATGACAAAGTCATTCCGATAAATTCCTATTGGGCTGCAGACAGCCAAAGTAAGACACAAAAGCACAGAAAATAAAATCTTCATCTTAGAAAACTAATTGTGAAGCTAATCCGTTGACTAAAATCATACTGTTCAACTGGTACTTGCCGAACATATTTATATCTTCGCGTTATCAATTCTCATGCTTGGTTCCACAAAGAATCGCACTATATTAACTCTAGATTTCTATCTCGACAATGACAATAGCTTACGTAAGGTTATTTGTTTCATCTTCTGTTTCATCTTCCGTTTCATCTTTCAGGTTGTAGAAATTTCTCGGCATGATGTGTTTTCATTCTTTTGGAGAGAGGAAGAAGCGTGCACTAATTACTTAAATGTAATTATATTTTGAGAGATTTTACAATTTTTAATTTATTTTTATTCTCACATGATATATATTATATATTTAAAGAAGTATTACTAATTTTTATATTTAATATTACGATTAAAAGAGCTATTATCATATTAAATAAGCTGTAGTATACACAAAATGATTTCATGAATGACTGAGTATAATATAGCTTATAAGAAAAATAATAACAAAACAAATTTATATTTTCAAAATTTTTTAATATGTGTGATTCTCTAAATGATTCTCTTTTATCAGGATGAAACAAAATTAGTGCTATATATTAATATGTATACGTATTGATAAAGCTTTTTTATTTTGTATTATACAATATATTGTAGATTAATATATTACTTATTCTATTTTTCATAATATTGTGACATAAAATTGACAGTTAATAAAAAATTAGGGATTTACCGAATATCCGGCTAGTATTTGGTTTCCGGCAATATATGCGACCGAAATTTTATATTGAAATTACGCGCATTCATTATGTGAATATCCTTTTATTATCATTGATATATTTTTTTAAAATATAGTACCGGATATCCCTAATTTTTATTAAATATCAATTTTATGATATAATATCATAAAAAATAAAATACTGTCATCTCCAATAAAAATATCTTTGTTTCACGATATAATTATCTTCCTATAATTATCTAACTTACATATTTTCAAATATTTCCAGTCCATCATTATATTAAGGCTGTTTATTGGGGATCTGATAACGTACCATTGATAAACACTACATGTGTCATTAATAATATCAGAGTTTTCTGACGTAAATGTGTTTAATCAGAATCAACTACTACCAAAAAGCAACGTTTAAGAGATATCGCATATAATTTCTACGGAATTGTGGAATATTTCAAAATTTTTGCACGTATATAGGCATGTCTTATTCGTCACATTGTAAACAAAATAAATACTTATTCACTATAATTTTTTTTTATCTATCTTATCTATCTTATGTATTTTTCTGCAGATAAACATACAGATATATGTATATATATATATATATGTATATATACGTACATAATATATAATGTATATATATGTATATATATTTACATTCATGCATAAAATGTGTATTTCGAAATTTTTAATTTAGTATTTTTCAGATAGTTGCATAATTAATCATCAAAAAATCTTTATAAGCATCATTTTGTAAATATCTTCGCTTTAACAATTATTATTTTTACTTTATTTTTTCTGTTTGCATCAATAACGTCGTCGCGACTTTTTTCTGATCTTCGCAACTCTGTCGACCATATCGCGCAAATTAATTCCTTTTCATAAATTCAACGCGAAGGAACGTTTCATATTCAACGCCATAACTCGAAACGTGTTCCTCGGTACGTGTGTAATCTCGAATCTCAGACTCATCATTTTCAGCCGCGTCAGCTTATGGTACGTGAGACCGTAAGAATTAGCTAAGTGAGTAGCTACGGTAGTAGCTTTCTACAGCTTTTACATATGCAGAATCGGTGGTAGACTTGACTGAAACGAACGAGTCATACAAAATTAACAAACAGCTTATCCTATCATCGAAAGATATAACTTACAAATATTTTCCTATGTAGACAATGACGATCGTTTAATAGCTGGTAGACGTCGAAAGCGTTTCCGCTTTACCATTGACAATTTCTGAGAGCTCCTGAGAAAGTATAAAATCTTTTTTAAAATTCAGCCCTAATAATGAATTTGAAATTCATATTCGCGACATTAAACACTGTTGAGAAGTGATTAGATTCAACAAAAAGATCATTAATCTCGTTCTTTTTAATACTTACATATAATTTCTGTTCTCTATTAAAAGTATTAATTTGTTGTAAGATTATATTGCATTTAAATCTTTGATGATTAATAATTGATATCTTAGATAAAAGATTTATAAAATGCATAATAGGATATTAATAGAGCAATATGCGATCTATTGGGAACATATTTGTTAATAATACAATGCATAATAAAATTGAAACAATAGATTCATATGCGATTCAGGGTGGAGTCTATTATATATTAATTTTCATGAAAAAAGTACCAATGAATTCAATTCATCCGCAAAGAAATATAAAATGTTTAATCCTATTAATTTGTGAATCGTTACAATTCATGGTTTTATAAAAAGATATGTATCTTTTTATGAGGGATTCAATTTAAATACTATAAAAAATGAATTTTTAACTGATATTTATATTGAGTGTATGAAGGTATAAAATTTTTATTAAAAATTATCAGAGAAATTGTCAGATGAATATTTCAACGAATAATGATTTTACAATTGCATATCTATAATCATTGTGTAATTTGATATATATTATTGATCGACATACATACACAAAAGGTTTATGTATTTATTTCGGCATTTATAAAAAAAAAGTTTTCTCTAACAGATTATATGCTACGTAAAGTTTCGAAGAAAAACGTGTAAGTTCAACATTGAACTGATAAAAAATCTTATCTCGTTGAGATCATGATCGTTATATTCTCATTATTTTGTTCGGTTAGCGATCTAAAAGTAACCAATGAGTGAATCAGAGATATGCCCTCTGTATTTCACTCGAAATGTTGTCATATGTAAATTGTAATTAAATCGAATTGTAAATATTTTCTTGTAACAAACATAGTACGTTTTATTCAAGATTTATTTTATGCAATCACATTCCAAATTACGTGTTCATTTATATAAATGCTTAGATAAATTAAACTACAATTAAGTGTATAAAATTAATTTTTTTAAAGAGCTTTATTTAATAAATTTAAACTATCATTTATATATATTTAATTTTCAAAAGCTTCTTTCAGAATAGCAATCACATTAAAATAATAAGAAAAATAATAAGAACATGTATCTCTTATTTATAAACTTAAGAATTTTATTAATGCGATGCTGTTAGATAAGGGAGAGAAGATGCTTAACGATCGCCTTTGAAACGTTTTTCGTACCAATATGTAGATGCATTGCATCATCGCATCCTCTGCGTATATGTTCACGCGGCTGCTGGTAATTACTCACGTCACGTAGCCATATTGCTGACCACGGATACCATTTTTTATACTATCAAGAGGTGCCAACAGCCCGCGCAGTCCGCCATCCAGCCCGTAATATCAGCCGATGCTTTTTATTAACGGCGAGAAGAAGAGAGACCGTATATCGATCCAATAAACGCCGTCACGTCAGATCGGGCGAGAACAATCGCTACAGAGGATAAAATTCTCCGCTTGATCTGACCGCGAATGGGAATGGCACGTCACGTACTGGCGATCTCTTCTTTCATTAACGTTACGAACGTTTCACGCATCGCTCCTAATCACTACCCGCGAGTACAAGCTATCACGAACATCGTGAAAAGAAACCTGCCATTCCCTCTTTCTCTCATTTACAGGCGCTCTTGTATGCTCTTGTTTCGATTCCCGTCGGATTCCCTTAAATCCCGACTGTGTAGTTTCTCGAGTTAATTCATTATCAACTTAACTCATTATTTTTTATTTTATTCTTTAGAGATCTGTAAAAAGTTTAACATAATGAAAAATATCTTGTTAGACATATAAGTTATACATAAATTAAATTAAATATTTTTTTTATACTTTAGAAGCTTTTCCTTGAATTATTCTTTACTTAACATTCTTTATTAATGATTATTAAATAAAATTTAAGCTTTTGGGAATGATATTATCGCGAAATTATAAATGCTTTCCAATGCGTTATATATTTAGACACTTTTTTATAGACTTTTATATAAACTTTCTCTATCTTATTTCTGTCTTAAAACGATTCTGTCTTATTAGCATTATTTTATAAGTTATTCTTATAATTTTATAAACATTTTTATTTTTCTATTAAAATTGACGAAATTTTCTAGGCAAAATGAATTGTCGAAAGTATTTTTGATTCATCGTCAATGGAACTAATTTCATCATACGCTGACATTATTATTTCACGTCCATTATTGTCCACGCGTGTTGTGTAAAAATAGAGAATTTTATCCGCTTCACACTATAAATTTTCAAAAGCCCGATGTCAATCAGAGCATCAATTCGATAAATATTGAACTAGGTGGGGTATCAATCAACCATCAATGCGTCTTGTCCTGAGCAGACACGCAAATGGCTGACTGTGAACATATTCTCTCCTTGCAGTGACACCGATATCGCATACGTATTACGCATCGTTTGTCATCATTATCCGTACTGTAATTAAAACTTTCCGACTTATGATGAAGGATTGCACGACCTGATTTCCATGAAAATAGAATGGTCATTGTAAATATATCATGCTTTGTCCTATATAAAAACATAACATTGTTCAAAAACTGTCATTTCGACCAACGCGATATGAAATACGCTCTGATCCTGTAAAAGTTCGCCGCAAGAGACTGTATCGTTTGCAATTATATGAATAAATAAATAAAAACATAAATATTTTTACAAAATAATAAATATTCTGTTATACTAAATTATATTTACTAAATATAATGAATAAATTATACAATAATATAAATATATTTACCAAATATATTTATTATTAATAGAAATTATATAATAATGAGTTATAAAATAAAAATATAATAATAAAATATACAACAATAAGAAGTAATAAAAAATATGGAATAGTAATATTTTGAAAACCTTGTTCTTGAACTTCTATTCTTATT